TGTATTTCCACGTGGCTTGACTTTAGTAATTGAGAAGAAGCCATTAGAAAATGCACACATTTGTCTGTTATTTGGGGAGAAAGACATTTATTAATTTAGAAAAGTCTCAGTACTTTGATGAGACTAATTTTTTTGAAACTACAAATATGGGGGACATCTGATGGTCTGTGAGTCCCTTGTGAAAATAAAGCACAATGGCTCAACTATCGTGATAATAACTAATAAACAAAGACATTTTAAATAAAAACGTTTCAGGACACTAGATGTACTATAATGCAAGAATTTACTAATCTGGGCCTTTAATAAACACTTTAATAAACAACAAAGATTGACACATAAGGCCTCATTTGTCATATAACCAGTATTGTAAATGATACTTGTGTCAGGGAACAAAAACTTATTTAATCCATTACATTTCTAGAAGATGGAATTTTAGAGCCAGAAGGTGACTTTGGCAGCTACTGCTCCAGGTCTGAAAATATCAGGGGGTTTGTGGGAGACTTGGCCCCTGAACGTAGTCTCCAAACTTGGGCCGGGAGTTCTTGGTCCTTCTCTGTATCCCTCTTTCAGGAATGTAGCAGCCACATCCCTAGAGGCAAATGGTTCTAAGAACTATTTCAGCCAGGGCTTTCTTCTAGAACCATTGGCGTGACCACCAGCCCAGTGGTGGAGGAAAAGCAAGTGCTCATTCCCAGGCTCTGAGGGCTACATGGTTTGGAAAGCTGACCAATGAGGTCTGATGGAACCAAGTTGTTACTTAAAAAAAGAAACATGACCCTTTGGGTGTTCAGTTCCCAAGATGTTTTTGGACTGGTCCCAAGCTGGACAAGCTTGTTGTTCAACCTACTTAAAATTCAGATGGGAGTGATGAATCCTTAAGTTTTTGGGCCCCCAACATCCAGCCAAAGTGGGACATACAATCCTACTGTAGGGAAATGTCTCCTACAGCAAAGGGCTGACTCCAGTCAATAAAAGTATTTTTCTAAAATGTCTTTTTCTGCTGCCAGACAGGATTCTGAAGCCCCAATCCCAGATGGGATGTCATATTAAGAACAATGAACTGCCAGTGATGTCATTGTTTCAAAGGTAATATGCATGTTCCTCTGCTTTGGCTCCCAGAGAGCAGGGACAGTGGTGGAGATGGGAGAGACACGTGAGTGTGATTAGTGCTCTCCTGCTGTATAAGGCAAGATTCTTTGTGGCAAGATAAAGGAAATTAGCGGCCAATTTGGCATTTGGATTTTCTCAGTGCTTATTTACAATACAAAAGTGAGCATCTGTGATTTGAAGAATCTACATTTTCTCCTGCTTGGTTACTGTCTTAGTCTGGGCTTCCCCAGAAGCTTATCCTGAGACAAGGATTTGTGTGCATGTGGTTTACTTGGGAGGTGATCCCAGGAAGTAGTGGTAGAGGAATGTGGAAGTCAGAAAGGAAGGGGAGTCAGTAAAGACTGCCTTATCAAGCAGTTTATCTCTGTGGGTGCCTAGAGCTAAATCTGCTGAGGAACTCAGGGAGCAAGTATGCCTCATGCCTCAGAATCACCACCCCAACTGGGGGCAAAGGAGCTGGAATATTTACACCCTTCCCATTAGTCACTAGTTAGGGCTGCTCCTAAGAGTGTTATTTCTCCAGCACATCCAGCTTGCCCTCTGCCCAGGAAGAGGAGCTCCAGCTGCTCGAGAAAGCCCTCAGGTAGACTTCAGGCCAGTGCATACTACCATGGTAAAAAGAGAAAGGTAGAACACTGGCAGCTTCTGGAATAGTCACATTAGTCCAGATTCACTCCCCAACCAGTGTATGTGTGTACACGTGCATGTGTGTGTTGTACAGACGAGTGGTGGTTACATAATGGGGAAGTCACAGTTACTCTGGTCCTGAAGGAGGAAACTTTGAAGTTCCAATGCAGTGTTTTTCCCTCTTAGATTCTGCATAGCATGAGGAGCACCAAATATGGCCACGGACCTATGGTTTGGCACGTGCATGTGTGTGTTGTACAGACGAGTGGTGGTTACATCATGGGGAAGTCACAGTTACTCTGGTCCTGAAGGAGGAAACTTTGAAGTTCCAATGCAGTGTTTCCCTCTTAGATTCTGCATAGCATGAGGAGCACCAAATATGGCCACGGACCTATGGTTTGATGCTACAAGTGTTGACTGGGAATTGGCACTGAGCTGTCCCTCCAGTACCAGCAGATGGATGTATTTCATGACAGTGAAGTTTATTTTCTTTGATATTGTTAAAGGGGATACAATAATTATAACTTGCTGCGCTCCTGCTATGTGCTAAACCCTATGTTGTGTGATTCAGCCTTTACAACTCTGTAAGGGGGTGTGATTATCCCCATTCTACAAATGAGGCTAAGATGTGTTTATCCAGTCAACAATGAAAACCTGGGCTGCATCCTAGGGATTAATTAAAAACAAGACAGACATGGGCCTGTCAGCATGCTGAGAGCAAGTACAAGGACTGTAGGGCAGCTCTGGCTACTGAGTGGAGAGAGAATTGGAGGAGTCAAGAAGGACCTAGAGGGACAGGGAGACCAGTTAGGAGGCGGGCTATAGAAAGCAGGCAAAAGTGACACTGGTTTGTTCTAAATAGTGCGGTGAGCTAAGACATTAACCAAAGTCCACAGTGTTTGCAAACTGCATGGTTGTGTTTCAAACCTAGTCCAATCCTAAAACCTATCTCTATACTCTTCTGTTTTTAAATAATATTCAATATGTAAAGCTGTATTTCTGTTTCCTTTAACTACAGTAGTTCATGCCTGATGGAGGAAAATATATTATCTTTTTTGTTTGCTACTTGCAAAGAATGATATCTGGTTGAATAGTTAATTCATTTGATTCATGGTAGGCTAGAGGGCAAGACTAGAACTTTGAGAAGGTGACAGATTTGGAAGTCCAAATAAAGTAGATTGTCTTAATTTCCTGGTCAGTGAGGGTTTGGGGCAAGGCAGGGGGGTGGAGGAAAGGACTTCCCCCCAATGGCTCCTCCTTTCCCCACTCACATTCTGCCCAGGAGAACAAAGCACAGATTGGTGGCTATGCCTCCAGGAGGATGCTCCCTGCAGGCTGATGAGGGATGGGAGTGCATGACTCGTCATAGCCTGGCATGCCACTGCTACAGCATGAGGCTTTGAAGTCCTGAGACCATCAGGCAGCAAAGCCAGTAGGACATAGAATTACTGGAAGAAATAATGTTGTGTTCTTCAGTTACCAGCTGGCTCTCAGTTCTGGCATACAAATGTGACTACAATGCGGCACCAGTTCAAGTATCAAGATCAAAGCCCTTTACCACTAAGGAAGCAGAAGGTTCGAGTCCACATCCCAGTGAGGGGCTGCCTGTGGAGACCAAACTCCACTTCCCAACCCACAGACATGCCCGGGGAAAAGACTTATGGGTGAGGACTCGATGGTTATGGAGGGTGGGATGGGGATGAGTGAAAGGCAGAGTCCGAGGTGATGGAGGCTTCAGGGGCTCACCTATGGGCGATGGTCCCTGCTTCCTTCTGGTCCTGCTCCTGATAACTTGTAAGTCATTCCTGGGATGGCCTGGCTCCTCCAGGACTGAGCAGGTGAAGGGGCCTCATTCACCCATGAGTGTGGGTCACCAGCAACGTGTTAGTTTATATAGTATACACTCAGAATAGGGAAAATACATGGGAGGTTTTTCTCTACCAGAATCATCACTCCAAAGATGAAATAGAATCTTTTGTACTGAGCGTATCACAAGTGCAAAGAACTCTAGATGCTAGCAGACAAAACCTTATCTGATCTATAGAAGAGGCAGCCGGTTGTAAAAGAAGGAGCCTGTGATTTGAGGCCAAGCGGGTTTGTGATGCAGCCTCAGCTCTGCAATTACTAGCTGTGAGCCTTAATGCTCAGCCTGTTTCCTCATCTGCAAAAATGCGATGCATGTACAAGTATTTCAAAGAGTTATCTGATGAGCTAATGAACACATGCAAAGCACTAGGCACAGAGGAGACACTCAACAAATGTTAGTTTCTTTCTTTCGGTTGCAGGCAGGTAGGGATATCCTGCCTCTCAAGTGGCCAAGTCCAGCACAAATGTGCTTTGAGAAGCTGTAAAGGTGCATGCCAGGACAGCGGGCAGAGCACTCACTGCGGGGAGGGAGTCTGAGATCCCTTTCTTGCCAGGGGTTGGGTCTGTCTTCTGTGATTTTCAAACTGTGTCCCTAGGAACTCAGAGGCCAGCTGGGGACAGGGAAAGGGGAGAGGGAGTGTGGGCCTGAAGATCATGCGGGCAGAGCACTCACTGCGGGGAGGGAGTCTGAGATCCCTTTCTTGCCAGGGGTTGGGTCTGTCTTCTGTGATTTTCAAACTGTGTCCCTTGGAACTCAGAGGCCAGCTGGGGACAGGGAAAGGGGAGAGGGAGTGTGGGCCTGAAGATCATGTTGTGGCTTTGTGGACTCTAAGAGCAGCAGTGCTTTTATCTGTTTGGAACACTAGGATTCCATATAAAACTTGTTTGAAAAAGGATTCTGCGGCTAATACAAACAAATCAAAATCTGAAGACTGCATAGATAAACAATCCAGAAGGCCACTTTTAACACAAAGACTATACTATAAAACAAAACTCCGTCATTGATTAAGAGAGCGATTGGCTACGTGATCTCAATCCATGGACAAAATTCCTCAGGGAGAGGGTGGGGTGGGAAATAACACTGCTCTTTACTAGTGAGAGAGATCAGGGGCACTCAATTATAGACTCAGAACTGAGGGGCTGTCTTGATGAAGGATAGTGGAAGGAGACAGGCGGTCTCGGGAGACTTGCATAAGACGTGTGATGCTGTTTTCCTGATTGTACCACCCAGTGCTAATCAAGAAGGGTTCTCTTGGGCTCTCCTAAGTACACAGGGATGGACATTTTAGAGAGAGCTCACTGGAGGCCCAGCACATCTTTGTGCAAATATAGAACATTTCCCCAATACCCTAACTGCAGAAATGCAAGCTGTTTGCAGGCGGTTTCATGGCTCTTACCTTCTTCAGCTCTTCCTGGACACTCTGGCTATTCTCTTCGGAGGACAGGCTCTCCTTCTGGTTCTCAGATTCTGTCTTGGGCTCGGACTCCTGATCCTCCCCTGAAGAAGTCTCCTTTTCACTCATTTTCCTTGCTAACTCGTACAACCTGTTTCTCAGTTTTTCCTCCGTGGTTTCTGTAGGGGTCCAGGGGTGTCGAACCTCATTGCTGATGTCAGTCTCTGATAAATCACCCGACACCTAAATGAAAGCCAGAGTCATAAGATAAGGACCCCTCTGCTACAGTCATATTACTTCTTGTTCCCCGTAATCCTGGAGTAAAAGAACAGATAGTCCAGGAGAGTAGCAGCTCTCCTATCTGATCTGCTTTCTCTACAGACGGACTTTTACATTTTACTTTCTCAAATGCATGCATTTTAACACCTTGTTAAAGGGTTCAGGTGCGTAAGTATCTGTACTCAGAAAACTGTTTGAATTCAATTCAGTTATTTTCATTCACATAATACTTAACTGAGTTCCCACCATGGGCAGCCCTGCGCTGGTGCTGAGGAAATCTGGCTGGCCCCAGACCTGGCCAGCCATCCTAGTGGAGGGGACACATTAGAACTTCAGGTCCTGACTTTTCATGTTGGTTAAGTGCAGAGAAGATCATGTGTGTGGGTGGGGGGTGGGGGGGAGGAGGTCTTACAGCCATAAATGGGCACTTAATGGGAGGGGTAGGGGATCAGGAAAGGCTTCTGTGCAGAAGTGATGTTTGAGTTGAGATTCAAAGTGTAACAGTCACTCAGCTAAAAGGGAGAGTGGAAAGAACAGTATTCTAGGCAAAAGGCAGAGATTTTGAGAATGTGCAAGGTCTTTGCACATATGTAAGGAATAATGTATGGCATTCCCTTCATAATTACAGTTCTAGCTTAGTAATTACATCTCCTGCTCTTACTATCCATTTGGTGAATATCTCCTAAGCTCCTTCTAAGAGTAAGGCCCTGGCCAGGCCCGGGGAACTCCAGGAAGACATGGGGATTGTGAGTGTTTATTCTTGGCCTTCAGTTGGACAGATGTATATTGAAATGTTCATATGTACTTAATACGACACACCATCAGGGTCCACTGGAACCAGTTTTAGTTTTTGAGTTTCCTCTTGGAGTTGTTCTATCTATTTGTAGGGCTTGATATTTCATAGCTTTTATTCTCTTGGAGGGCTTCCAAAAAACAAAGAGAAAATTTACTTATTTTTTTAAATGGAAAAAAACTCTTTATATTTTGCAATTACCGTATGGGTACATTGGAAATTTGCATAAATCTAAGATACATCATGGGATCTTTGTGATATTATTTTTCCTATCTTTTGAGACATTTCGCTATTTCATCATCCTGGAAATTATTTTTCATCATTACTCACCAATTATTCCCAATTATGCTAAAAGAGACAAAATGAATAAACAGAAGAATGGAATTGCCTAGACGGATGGATGATTCAATAGGGAAATACATCACCATTTTGAATTTGCTTTTAGCTTTCACCGTACACAGCACAGAATTCAAATTTTTTCATAATAGCAAAGAGAAGAAAAGTGACAGAAAATAACATTTCACAATTATTAGATGACTCAGAAGATGAATTCAATGTACACAGCACAGAATTCAAATTTTTTCATAATAGCAAAAAGAAGAAAAGTGACAGAAAATAACATTTCACAATTATTAGATGACTCAGAAGATGAATTCAAAGAGGAGAACAGATCTAGATTCTAATGATGGTGACATTGATTGTATTAGTGAAATCTCAGACTAAGAATCTTCAGGTGACAGTGTCCTAGGTGAATATTCTCAAACTCAAGAATCGATGAGTAAATATTATCAATGATATTCATAAGGATAAAAAAGAAATATGGTATTTTCATCCTGTCAGTCATTCAACCAGAAGGGCTTATCACACATTTTGCAACAAGGACCTGGACAATCCTGTTTAAGATGTGTGACAGTTTCTTTCATCCTTTATGTTTGTGCATCAAATGTACTTGACATTATTTGCAATTAAATAAATTCTAAAGGCAGATGTCTAGACAAAGGTGATTAGAAGGAAAATAGATGACATAGAAATAAAAAAAAATTTTTTTAAATCATTGAAAGAAAAATAATCCATTGGACATGACTATTTTTCCTGGTCGTGAGTAACAATCAGTGATGGGGGCCTCATGAGAGGTGACTAGTGTTCCCAGAGTGCTTGAGAAGGAGGAATTCCTTTGCTTGGGATACGGGGATGGTCCTTGGGAAGAATGGGCTCTAAACAGATTCTCGAAAGATGAGGCACATTTTAATGCATAGTCATGGGGACGGGCATTCTTTTTTTTGACCGGTAAGGGGATCACAACCCTCGGCACGGCATAGTCTGCACCACGCTCAGCCAGTTCGCACACCAGCCACCCCTATATAGGATCCTA